GCAACACAAACACAACACCACACCACACAACCCCAACCACGCCCACTACCACGCCTGGCTCATTTTTGTATTTTTAGTAGAGATGGGGTTTTGCCATGTTGACCAGACTGGTCTCGAACTCCTGACCTCAGGTAATCCTACTGCCTTGGCCTCCCAAAGTGCTGATATTACAGACATGAGCCACTGTACTTGGCCTAATTTTTTTTTTTTTTAGCTTTTGTAGACATGGGGGTTTCACTATGTTGCCCAGGCTGGTCTCCAACTTCTGGACTCAAGTGATCCTCTCACATTGGCCTCCCAAAGTGCTGGGATTGCTGGTGTGAACCCATCATGCCTGGCCTCTTTTCAATGGAAACTAAACTTATTTCTTCACCAGCCTGGGATCAAGGACTGATCATCCAAGCCAGAGGTCAGAGGTCATTTTAGTAGGGCCCAGTGGCCAACTTCAACCCAACCCACTGTCAGTGTTTGTATAGCCCATGCCATGAGCTAATAGTTTTCTCATTTTTAAATGGTTGACCAAAAAAAAAAAAAAAAAAAAAAGAAAAGGCAACTAATACTTTTCCATACCTAAAAATTATATGAGATCCAAATCTCAGGATACATAAATATTATTTGGGCCAGGTACAGTGGCTCATGCCTGTAATCTCAGCAATTTGGAAGGCTGAGGAGGGAGGATCACTTGAACCCAGAAATTCAAGACCAGCCTGGGCAACACAGCGAGACCCCAGTCTCTAAACATGAAAAAATTAGCCGAAGATGTTTCCATCTTTGTTGTAAATTTTTGTCGATGAACACAAGCTGTGTGTGGCATGTGGCTGTGGTCCCAGCTACTTGGGAGGCTGAGGTGGGAGGATCGCTTGATCCTGGGAGGTTGAGGCTGCAATGAGCTGTGATTGCACCACTGCACTCCAGCCTGGGTGACTGAGTCCCTTTAAAAAAAAAAATATTGGAACACAGCCACATTCTTTTTTCTTTTTTTTTTCTGAGACGGAGTCTTGCTCTGCTGCCCATGCTGGAGTGCGGTGGCGCAACCTCTGCCTCCTGGGTTCAAGCTATTCCCCTGCCTCAGCCTCCTGAGGAGCTGGGACTACAAGCACGTGCCACCATGCCCGGCTAATTTTTGTATTTTTAGTAGAGATGGGGTTTCACCGTGTTGGCCAGGCTGGTCTCGAACTCCTGACCTCAGGCAATCCTATTGCCTCAGCCTCCCAAAGCGCTGAGATTACAGGCGTGAGCCACCACACCTGGCACATTCATTTGTTTTTGTATTTCCTGTGGCTGCTTTTGTGCTGCAATGGCGGAGTTGAGTATTTGTGACAGAGACCACATGACCTGCTCAGCCTAAGGTATTTACTATTGAGCCCTTCACAGGAAATGTTTGCCAACTGCTGGTCTAAGCCATTACCAGTTAATCTAAGCTGCAAGCTCCCCAGTCCCTTACTCCAGAGGATTCTCACTTTAAGAGATCTATACGGGACCAGGTACGGTGGCTCACGCCTGTAATCCCAGCACTTTGGGAGGCCAAGGTGGGTGGATCACCTGAGGTCGGGAGTTCCTAGACCAGCCTGACCAATATGGAGAAACCCCGTCTGTACTAAAAATACAAAATTGGCCTGGTGTGGTGGCGCGTGCCTGTAATCCCAGCTACTCGGGAGGCTGAGGCAGGAGAATCGCTTGAACCCGGGAGGCGGATGTTGCAGTGAGCCAAGATCGCGCCATTGCACTCCAGCCTGGGCAACAAGAGCGAAACTCCGTCTCCAAAAAAAAAAAAAAGATCTGTAGGATCCCCCATTCCACCGTTCCCAACCAGCTTACTTCTGAGGAGAACATTGCTTCCATTTCCTATCTTTATCGTAATTTTCTGTTAATGAACACCAACTCCGATTCAGAATATAGCCTTCCTTGGTGCAATTGTGAATGGCTTTTTGTCTGAAGACAAAGGGGAAGACACACTGAGGAGAATCTGCAGGGAAAATGGGGGCAGAGGGAGAATTATGAACACAGACAGTTTCTAAAGGATTGTTTAATTTTTAATTTATGTGGGTACTTAATAGGCATATATATTTATGGAGTATATGGGATACTTTAATACAGACATACAATGCATAACAACCACATCAAAGTATATGGGGGTATCCATCACCCCAAGCATTTATCCTTCGTATTACAGACAATCCAATCATACTCTTTTAGTTATTTCAAAATGTATAAATTGTTATTGACTATAGTCACCCTATTGTGCCATCAAATACTAGATCTTATTTATTCTTATATTTATTTATTTATTTATTTATTTATTTGGAGACAGAGTTTCGCTCTTGTTGCCCAGCTGAGTGCAGTGGGCATGATCTTGCTCACGCAACTCTGCCTTCCCATGTTCAGTGATCCTCCTGCCTAGCAGCCTCGAGTAGCTGGGTTACAGTGCCACCCCACGCCCAGCTAATTTTTGGTATTTTTAGTGAGAATGGGTCTGCACTATGTTTGGCCAGCGCGGTCCGAGACTCCCGGACCTCAGGGTGATCCACCCGCCTCGCTCCCAAAGGGCTGGGATTCAGGTGTATGACACTGACCCGGCCTACATTCTTGTTTATCTTCTAATTATTTATTTTACCATTATCATCTCCACTTCCCCCACCTCATTCCCTTCCCAGCCTGTCAATGGACTCCATCTATTCTGTTGTCTCCATGAAATTCAATTGTTTTTATTTTAGCTCCCACCAAATAAGTGAGAACTATGAGAAGTTCTCTTTCTGTGCCTGACTTATGTTAACCTTGACAAAATGACTCCAAGCCCATCATGTTGTTGCAAATGACAGGATCTCCTTCTTTTTTTTGATGGGCTGGAATTAGTACTCCATTGTGTCAATTTACCAAATTTTCTTTATCCATTTCGTCTGTTGACGGGCATTTGGTTGCTTCCAAATCTGGCTATTGAGAACAAGAGCTGCGAGTAAATAGGAGTGCACTTCTCTTTGACCATAGAGTTTCCTTTCTTTTGGGAATATACACAGGAGTGGGATTGCTGGATCGTATTGAGGCTGTAGAACAGGTTGAGTCATAGGGTAACTCAAGGTTAGGTATAAGTAAAGACAGGCAGGGACAGCCAGTTTTAGCAAGATTAGGCAGCATCCAGTCCACATCCATCCCTCCTATGATAACAAGAAGCTAGCTATGTGCCACTCTATGGTATGTGGCATCTCCAGTCAGCCTCTGATTGACTTTGGCAATCTTTCAGT